GTCCAGAAGAGCGCAGTCCTAGGAACAGCTAAGATACTGCGCAGAACCCTCAAACTCCCAGGCCTCTGGTAGAGGACCCGAGCTTGAGGATGACACATACCACCCTACGAGGGGTGAGAAAACAGTTTCAGTTTTTTTTATATATACATATATACCCTCACCGGCCACTTTATTAGGTACACATGTCCAACTGCTCGTTAACACTTAATTTCTAAGACATGGTCAAGACAATCTCCTGCAGTTCAAACCGAGCATCAGCATGGGGAAGAAAGGTGATTTAAGTGACTTTGAACGTGGCATGATTGTTGGTGCCACAAGGGCTGGTCTGAGTATTTCAGAAACTGCTGATCTACTGGGATTTTCACGCACAACCATCTCTAGGGTTTACAGAGAATGGTCCGAAAAAGAAAAAACATCCAGTGAGCGGCAGTTCTGTGGGCGGAAATGCCTTGTTGATGCCAGAGGTCAGAGAAGAATGGCCAGACTGGTTCGAGCTGATAGAAGGGCAACAGTGACTCAAATAACCACCCGTTACAACCAAGGTGGGCAGAAGAGCATCTCTGAACGCACAGTACGTCGAACTTTGAGGCAGATGGGCTACAGCAGCAGAAGACCACACCGGGTGCCACTCCTTTCAGCTAAGAACTGGAAACTGAGGCCACAATTTGCACAAGCTCATCGAAATTGGACAATAGAAGATTGGAAAAACGTTGCCTGGTCTGATGAGTCTCGATTTCTGCTGCGACATTCGGATGGTAGGGTCAGAATTTGACATCTACAACATGAAAGCATGGATCCATCCTGCCTTGTATCAACGGTTCAGGCTGGTGGTGGTGGTTTCATGGTGTGGGGAATATTTTCTTGGCACTCTTTGGGCCCCTTGGTACCAATTGAGCATCGTTGCAACGCCACAGCCTACCTGAGTATTGTTGCTGACCATGTCCATCCCTTTATGACCACAATGTACCCAACTTCTGATGGCTACTTTCAGCAGGATAATGCGCCATGTCATAAAGCTGGAATCATCTCAGACTGGTTTCGTGAACATGGCAATGAGTTCACTGTACTCAAATGGCCTCAACAGTCAGCAGATCTCAATCCAATAGAGCATCTTTGGGATGTGGTGGAACGGGAGATTCGCATCATGGATGTGCAGCCGACAAATCTGCGGCAACTGTGTGATGCCATCATGTCAATATGGACCAAACTCCCTGAGGAATGCTTCCAGCACCTTGTTGAATCTATGCCACGAAGAATTGAGGCAGTTCTGAAGGCAAAAGGGGGTCCAACCCGTTACTAGCATGGGGTACCTAATAAAGTGGCCGGTGAGTATATATATATATATATATATATATATATATATATACATATATTCATATTTTCTTTGTAGGGAACTACACTGCAAAAACAATCTAGAAATAAGTCAATACTTCTTAAATTAAGTGTATTTACCCTCAATTTGAGCAGATAAATAAGATTATTTTGAATGTGGAATCAGTATTTTTATTCTTAGAATAAGATAAGTAGATAATAAGCACTTGAAATAAGACAATGTTTTTGTTTTTTCTTATTTTCCATTTAAATTGTCTTGTTCCATTAGCAAATTGTCTCACTTATTATGAAGGACCAACTCTGCCATATTTAAAAATAAATACAGAAATAAATAAATGCTCAATAAATGTAATTACTTATATTTTTAAGTATTTATGTATGTGCATGTTATTATATTTTTGTCTGTTTTATTCTTCCTTTGTATTTTTTTACCTTAGTTATTTCTTCGCCGCTGTTTATTTCTCTCTGCCTTTTTACATTTCTCTATGCCCTTTTTACATTTCTCTATGCCCTTTTTACATTTCTCTATGCCCTTTTTACATTTCTCTATGCAGCTTCGGAGCTCCGCTGGTGCCACGGTCCTCTCAAGTTCGTCACATTTTCTTTTAAATTACGCATTAAATCTGTGAATGGGCCATATGGTGATGCTTAAAAGTATAAGGTTCTCGCCTCAAATGATCTTAAAACGTACTTTTATTGAACAACAGCAACAGAAAAGAGAACATTTAACTTAGTACTCTGAGCTCTGTGAGTTAAGAAGATGGACAGCCAAGCCAACCAATGAGCAGAAGTTGACTCTCTAGGACACACCCCCTCCTAATTTGCATAATGAGATAGAAATGCATAGAGAAATGTAAAAAGGGCAGAGAGAAATAAACAGCGGCGAAGAAATAACTAAGGTAAAAAAATACAAAGGAAGAATAAAACAGACAAAAATATAATAACATGCACATAAATAAATACTTAAATATATAAGTTATTAAAAAATAAAGTTGAAGATTATAAAGGACAGAAAAATAAATAAGGTAAATATTACAAAGGCAAATAAATAAAGAAGCTAATTAAGAGTTAAATATATATTTATGTCTCACTTTTTTGTTGGCAATTAATTGTATGCTTATACATTTATTGAGCATTTATTTATTTCTGTATTTATTTTTAAATATGGCAGAGTTGGTCCTTCATAACTTATCTCCTCAATTCAAGGAAAAATGCACTTATTTTAAGAAAAAAAAAGACTTATTTAGATTTCATTTTTTCCAGTGTAACAGTCCTTTTTTAAAAAATATTTTTGATCATATAAGGACAACTAAAAGGGATTTATCAGCACAAACAATGAATAAAGAAACCTGAAGAAGTTTGAGGGGAAGAGAAAGGGGAAGCAAAGGAGCTCAGATGGGTTTTCAAACATTTTATTTTTTAAACCTTACTGACAGAAAATGAACAAATCTACATTTGTTCACTCATGCTGAGGCTCACCTGCTGGGTTTTTAGACAGACACCTGAAGGTGCATTTCTCCTCCAGGTTAAAAGCTTTCTGTGCATATCAATGAAGCCGGCCTGGTCATTTGTATCCAACAGGAATAATAAAGGGAGCTCGCTTAAAATTACAGCTGAAATGTCTCTAATTAAAAACTCCTCGCTGCGGATCTGCAGCCGCATCAGCTCACGTTTCCCCAAGAATAAACGGCGACAAAAGGCTGCATTCAGCTCTGCGGCCTAAATAATTAAAAGGAGAGGAATAATTACAGTATAAAATTGTAATTATTGGAGGGGGGCTGCGGGGGAAGCCTCTCCACTGTGAAAGAGGAGAGGATGCGCTTATAGGATCAAGTTCAGCATCAATATTGCAGGGAGGTAAGAGAATAAAAGTAGATGACACTAAACTCTCATCTGTTCAGGAACACTCTGTTCCTGCCTCCAGTGTGATGGGTGACAGTATGTGCTTGATTCTCATTATGGTGCCTGAAACAATCAAGTGTTTTGGCTTCTGTTTGACATAGTGGCTGGGTCAGCAGGGCTGGACAGAAATGTTCTGGGGTCTGCCTTCCTATTGGGCCCCTTAAACCCCCCACCATGCACAAATTGTATAACACTTACACATAGGTGTCTGTTTATTGGTCTATTCTAGACTCTAAACACAACAGAAACATCAAAACGGAAGACACTTTAGGATGATATGTGTATATTTCTATTTATTTATTTACTTATTTATGTATGTGCCTAATGTTAATGTATCACAAATGAAAGAACCAAGATGTATAGAAATTGGGTTGGGCCATGGCTTTAATAATATATGAACACTTTGAAGATTAATAAAATTAAAATTTATTAAAAATACCGTTTAAAGAAAAAAAATTATAAGTTATGAATCAAATAAACCAATTCAATTATATGATTTAGAGGAGTTAAACAGTTTGAGTTATTTTGAAATGCCACAACAAGATGTTCTGCATCATGGTTATCCTTAAGATTTACTTAGGAAGAAGAACATGAAAAATAATAATAAAAGGCGAGATCTTTTTCCTAAGGGATCCTCCTGGTGCTCATCTCTGAATATTTTGGCTAAATCCAGAAGATAATCTCTTAATTATAACTTAGAAAACGTGGGCTTTGGACACCTCTGTAGATTTCTGTTTTATCAGACAATCTTAAATGCGTCATTTTTTTTTTAATAGGATTTTTTTTTTTTTTAAGGCTTATTTTCTTATGCATTCATAGTCTTTGTGTCCTTGCACCATGCATCATATTTTTTAAAATGAATGCCTCTCCTCAGCATTCTTTATAAAACAATCCCTTATCTCTCTGCTTCCTTCTTTTCTGTGTGTAGCTGGGGGTCCATCAGGTTGTAGCCCCCATGATCAGCCCTTTAAAGGGGTTTTTAGGGACACCCCTGTATTTTAGACTTAATTTTCAGAGTCTGATCTTTAACCAGAGCTTAAATAATTGATACAGCAAAGTGACCAAGCTTTTAACACTTTGAAGATTTCTATTTTTTAAGTCAATCGCCTCTCCGCTTCATTCAGTTTGCATTAGTCTAAAATCAGGCCGAAGGATCCCACATCTATTTCAGATTTCTAACCTTCATTTATTCTTTTTTTTTTCCCTCCCCCAAAGCTGCTGAGTGATTTGCGTGGCCGCGGCGTGGAAGCCAAACAGATGGTGGTGAAACTTGATAAATGAGCCAGGGCCTTTTTGGGCTTCTTGCTGCCTGCAAAGCGCAACTTGCGCAGCGGCTCGCTTCCACTGCGGGGAAATAAAGCAAGATGCGCGCTGATCCTTAATGCAAATGAAACGCTATCAGTTTGACCCCAGGGGCCTCCGGGGGGTCTTTAGTAAGGAGTGTCTGAGTGAGCCGCTTTACGCACTTACCATTTAGTTTATATTTATTTAGAACTATTATAAAGTTTTCATTTATAACAGTTTTTGTAATTAAATACCAATAATTCTGAGGCCAAATGTCTCCATATTTGGGGTCAGCGGGGGCCTAATTGGGAATAACGCCTTTCTTTCTGTTTTGTGCGTCAAAAATTGTGAATCTTTGTGTAGCTTCGCGTGTTTATGTGTTTGAGAGAGAATGGGGAGTAGAGAGGGAGAGCTATTACACATCAGCATGACGGCAGGAGGAGGAGGAGGAGGAGGAGAGAGGTGCCATGTGCTTCCTGTCTACACGGTATTCACCTCCCAGAGCTCCAACAGGATGGAGGTCCTGCGCGCCGCTGCTGTTTCTTCCTGAGCTTCAGCCAACTGAGAGAAAGTTTGCAGTTTTTTTGTGTTTTTTTTCCCCCTGCGTTTTTATCACCGTTTTCTATCCGGACAAAAATATTCTCCAAATTTTCCTCTCCTTACTTTTTTTTTTATTTCTTTCACCAAACATCGCTGGAGCGTCTTGTCTTTTCAGAAGAGGAAGGTAGGTGATATTTTAAGGTTTTAAAATAATTGGAATGCAAAACGGATAATATTGCTTGCATTTATTTATTTTTCTTTCTTTTTTGGAATAAAAAAAATGTAGTTTGTAAGCTAAATGATTAATATGTGATGATAAAGCAGGGAGCCAGCTATTAGAAACCTGCTCGGTAGATTTGCGCGGCCTTTGAAAACCCCGCAAAGAGTCGATCATTTGCGCAGGTGAATGTGACACAGGCCTGCTCCAACCTAATTCCTGCCTGCAGTCTAAGGCTAATCTGCGCTGAAGCTTTAATTATATATAGGGCTAGTCTTTTATTAACAATGCGGGGACGCACGCTTGGATCCGTGTAATTACCAGAAAAGCAGCTTAGAGTTGCTCTTTTCTTCTCCGCTAAGCGCATTGGCGCAGCTCAGGCTGCATTTCCCTTCTGTCCTTTTCCGTGTCTAAGGATCTTATGTGACTCTTAAGTAGCTGCTCCGTAAGTGCTGAGCCGATTTGAAGATAAGGGGAGCAGGAGAGGTCCTCCTTCCACGCAGGAGGTTGAGTGAAATCCGGGAGAAGGAGGCCGGACGCGCAGATGAAGAAAATTAGGAGAAGTTAAGAACAAGGGCAAAAACTAAATTCACTTTTGCAATCGAACAAACCATATAAACTTTTATTATTATTATTATTATTATTATTATTATTATTATTATTATTATTATTATTATTATTATTATTATTATTATTATTATTATTATTATTATATATTTTTCGTATTACTGATTCGTTTATCTTAGTTAATATTTGCATTTGAAGGTTTATTTCGACGCAATTCGATGGAAAAAAATTCCTAAAATAGTTAATATTGATATAGATGTCTTCCTTGTTGGAATGAAAAATATATACATTTATAACATTATTTTATTTTGTATTTTTTTCTTTACTCATATAAATACATAAATATACACATACGAGTGTGTGCTTCATTTTGTTTTTAGTAGGCCTAACAAGTAGCCTGTTTCAATATAATTTTGTGATTTTGATGGTTAGGCTTCCAGGGATGGAGTCGATGCCCGGACATCTTGGAGACGCGGGACGAGACGCCAGCTCTTCCCCGAGTTTGAAGCAAGACGCTCCGAGCTTTTCCAGCCCCAACTCCCTCAAACCGAACCAAGTGAGTGAGACCTCCCTGTACGGGGTGCCCATCGTGTCTCTGGTCATAGATGGGAAGGAGAGACTCTGCCTTGCACAGATTTCCAACACCCTTCTGAAAAACTACAGCTACAACGAGATCCACAACCGCCGGGTGGCTCTGGGCATCACCTGCGTGCAGTGCACGCCCGTCCAGCTGGAGCTCCTGAGGCGCGCAGGGGCCATGCCCATCTCATCCAGGCGCTGCGGGATGATCACCAAACGGGAGGCCGAGCGCCTCTGCAAGTCCTTCCTAGGAGCGCACAGCCCTCCGAAGCTGCCAGAGAATTTCGCCTTTGACGTGTCCCATGAATGCGCCTGGGGCTGCAGAGGCAGCTTCATCCCCGCCAGATACAACAGCTCCAGGGCCAAGTGCATCAAATGCAGCTTTTGCAACATGTATTTCTCCCCGAATAAGTTTATTTTTCACTCTCATCGCACTCCAGAGTCCAAGTACCTGCAGCCGGACGCGGCTAACTTCAATTCGTGGAGAAGGCACCTGAAACTGACGGACAAGAAACAGTCTGAGGATATAAACCACGCGTGGGAGGATGTTAAGGCCATGTTCAACGGGGGGAGCAGAAAGAGGACTCTTCCCATGAGCGGGTCGGGAATGTCTTCATCGTTGAAGTCGCAGACCTCCTCCAGTTTGGCTCCAACTAGTTCCCCTGAGATCCCTCACAAAACTTTACGGTGCGACGAGGAGCAGGGAAGCAATAACTTAAGTTTGGCTGGAGGCGCACGGAGCTACCCGGTCATCCCTGTGCCCAGCAAGAGCTTTGGCATGCTGCAGAAGATCCCCCCACCCCTATTCCCCCATCACCCCTATGGTTTCCCCAGCTATGGGCTGTGTCAGAAAAAGAGCGACGCAGTGACTGATGGGAACAAATCCGCGGTTCCGGGTGTGTTCTGGCCCGGAGCCAAGGACTCCCTCTACCCCGCTTTCCCCATGTTCTGGCCCACAGCAGGAGGCCTGCCCATGCCACCCTACCCGGGCGCCCCACCTAAACCTCCAACTGAGCGTCCGGGTGTCCGGCAAACTGAGTTGGACCTTTCTGACCAAAGCGATCGGGGCGCAAACACACCCAAAGACACAACCCCGCATCCTCACCATGAGCGCAGCCCGAGCTCCCAGTCCTCCTCCACCAGAAACGACGAGGACAGATCCGGAGACGAGGCCTCTCAGAGGAAGATCAGCTACATCTCAGCCTTCAGACCCGTGGTCAAAGACGCGGAAACGATCGCCAAACTCTACGGCAACCGGGACGGGTTCGGCGCGCGTCCCGGCTACCTGTCCCCGGATTTCATCAGCGAGAGCTCCAGCTACAGATCGGCGTCCCCGGACAGGGACAGCGTAGTGGACGATGAGGACGACGATCCAGACGTGGACGTGGAATCCAACCGGGGTCCGGAGGAAGAGGAGTCCATCCGGATCTCACCGGGTGGGGATGTCCGAGGCTCCCCTGCGCAGGAGCGGCTCTGCGCTGCAGCCGAGGAGGGCCAGCAGCGGCCTGACGGCTCCATCAGCCCGGGGGCGGCTGGGGTGTCACCGCAGGCCTCATCGGATGAGGAGCGACAGATGCGTAACAGCTCCCCTCCTCATGAGGTGAGATTAGATGAATTGGAGCTTTAATGATCCCCGGAGGGAAAGTTGGACAGAAGCAGCAGAAGTAAATGTGATCAAAAATGCTGACCTGCAAGATTTAGGCAGTCAAATGGCCTTTGCTCTTTGGCTAATAAAACCAGTTCCCCCTGAGCAAAACATTTAATTATTATTTAGATTTTTTTAAATAAAAATAAGAAATATCTTATTTTTTTATTATTATTATTGTTATACACAAACCTTTAAAAAATGTGAAATGCGGGTTTATTTTTTCCCCAAATAGGCCTTTTATTTATTTTTTTATTTCACACAATCTAATCAATCTAATTAAATAGCTTTTATGTTTTTATTTATATTTAATAGATCTTTTTTATTATTTTTCAAACGGCTGTAATTATATGAAGAACCGCAGCAAATGGCCTGTAATTGCTCTCTGTTTTGCAGGTGTTCCCTCATGAAAGGGACGCACCGATGCTCCTCCTGAACGACCGTCCTTCCTTCAGCTCCAAACCACCCAACAGACCCAGCGGTATAATTATTGATCCGATTTATTACCTGCTGATATATCCAACCCAAATCTTTAGAAATCCCTTAAACTGAACCCCCTGTATGCAGGTATCCATCACATGGCTGAAGCGCAAACACAGCATGGCGCAACTTCCTATTCAGAGAAGGACAGACAAGGTTTAAAATTATTATTTATATCCCAAAAAATTCAGAAATTTTCACATATATATTTTTTTAAACCATAAAACAGCTTGCAGCGACTTTGATTTTTCCTTTATTTGATTATTATTTAATATGTATGTGCAGGTGATGGAGCTTTACGCATCGACATCAGTGTGCATGAAAGAGATCTGGAGAATATGGCCAAAGGTGGGGAGCGTTTTAAGGCTCATAACCTAAAAAACAAGACAATTATTTGTATTATTTCATGACATAGTAAAATTTTAATAGATGATATTTTTTTTTCCATGATCTTTTTAATTCCTAAACTAAAACCCGCCCCTTTATCAACCTAAACATCCCCAGTCTGTTAGAATAACATTAAATACTGATTTCCACCTGATTTGAAATGTTGCTGCTAAAGAGATGCACGCCCAAATATCCGAATGCGAATTTGCATTTTATAGGCCTACAGTGTTTCCATAGTTGTTAACCACTTAATCACGAGATGTAGGAGTTTTGACTTATTATTGTAAGGGGAAATCGTTTAGAGGCTATTAATATTTTAACGAACAGAGCCATAACCCCGAGGCTCGGCAGCTAATTATTTTACAACGCTTGGAAAAACCCTGGGACTCCGTTATTATCGTCTCCACCTCCAGGCAATGCATGGCAATTACTGCAGCAGCCTGGGAGAGAGAGGGGGGGAGAGAGGGGGAGAGAAGGGGTTATCAAGGAAGGAGATGCACCTGAAGTTGGTTTTATTACAAGGGCTCCAACTAATCCTTACCAGCAGAAATAAAAAAAAAAAGATATGTTTATCATTTTTAAATATATATATTTAAGACAAATAAATAAATAGATAAAATATCTAACAGGATGTTAAATGTTCTTTTTTTCTCCAGAGGAGTTGCAGAAGCAGCTGGTGGAGCAAGTGGAGCTGAGGAAGAAGTTGGAGAGAGAATTTCAGCATCTGAAAGGTATGATGGGGACAAAAGCGAGTTAGTTAGTCGGACTGGATCCTTTCTTTGAGTCGATCTGTATGATGAGGTTCCTGGTTTTCCCTCCTCAGATAATTTCCAGGATCAAATGAAGCGTGAGCTGTCCTACAGAGAGGAAATGGTCCAGCAGTTGCAGATTGTTCGAGGTGAGTCTCTTTCTGTTAGTCTGGGCAGTGGATTTAAATCAGCTTTTCTTTAAGCCACAAAAGTTAAAGTTCAATAATTATTGGCTTTATAAGATTATACACTGCAAAAACCGTCTAAAAATGTCTTAAATTAAGTGTATTTACCATTAAATTGAGTAGGTAAATAAAATAATTAGAGAATGGAATGAGTATTTTTAGTCTTAAAATGATATAATTAGATAATATGCAGTTGAAATAAGACAATGCAATTGTGTTTTCTTATTTTAAATGTAAATTGTCTTGTTCCATTGGCAAAGTGTCTCAATTACCTCTTCAATTCAAGAAAAAATGCATTTATTGCAAAAAAAATCACTTTTTTAGATTTCAATTTTTTGCAGTGTAGAAGGAAAAGTGACACTTGCATATTGAAATATTAGAGTGTTTTACTGTAAACTCCATCTTTGTTTTTTTATTTATTTTTGCTGTGGCTGAGGGGATTAATGGATCTCTATCAAAGGTGAAACTGAAGCCACGTTGTTTTGTTTGCAGATGTTATTTTCTCCTAAATCATGCTCTGGAAAATTGAATAGACAGACCATTATGTAGCTCTGTATCGCTTACATGCAGCAGACTTCAACTAATGCCACCCGTTAAAGGATTGGTTTAATGTTACAGTCATTTAAATACAGGGTTCAAGTACACAGAGGGGTCAGTCTAAATACCACAGGGGCAAACAGCACACGTTACACTCCTCCACACACTATTTACTCATTTTGTTTGTTTTTACTTTCCTCCATAATCATTTTTGACCACTTATTTATTATTATTATTTTTTTACTTCTTTATTTTTATTTTTATTTTTTGATAGACACTTTGAGCAGCGAGTTGGACCAAGAGAGAAAGGCTCGTTATGCAATACAGCAGAAACTAAAAGGTAATTTCTAAGTGGTCCACAGAGGGAATCAATAATTTATTCACATTTTTACCCACAAGCTCAAATGAATATGCAAGTGCTACTTTTTTGTTGTTTCGTTCGGCCTCTGCTGTGTTCAGATGTCAGTATTTACAGTGCGGCACAGTTAAAGTGAAGCTTCTCATTTGAAATCTGACTTGAGGCAGTGGAGAGCACCACTGGCCACATTATCTGCTTCATACTGGCTGGGAAGTATATTCATTGTGAGTGATGAGGAAACAATGGTTCAAACAAAGACAATCAAATCAGTTTAACCTGTTTATTATTTTTATTTTAAAGGAAAAACAAACCATTTCTATTTTTAAGAGATCTGACCAGAGCTTAGCTCATCAGATTATCAATGCTTTCGTCTTCTGATGATTTTCTGGATGTGCAAAAAACAGATGCATTTTGTAAAGAAGCTTCAATAATAATGAAACAAAGCAGCCAAATATTCTTAATGTCTCTTTTTATTTATGGGGCATTTTTAACTACATCTTCTCTATTCTTCTTTTGCGCTGCTGTTCTGCTCCCAGTAAAAAGTCAGCTCCTCCCATTGTTTCATTACATGGATGCTAATCAGTTGTCTTTAAGCTATACTTCAGCTTTACCAGTTGGATAAAATATTTACTTTCTAATTAAAAAACATATTCATTTCCCCAATGTTATCTTATAATTATTATTTAAAAAACTATGTATATATTAAAAAACACACACTATGTGTGAAAAGTGGACCTCTGTGTTTTTTTTGTTTTTGTTTTGTTTTTTAACAAAAACCATAACTCTCTCATTAACAAGAACCAGTGAGGCCTGTTTACTTTCAATAACTGAAGAACAGAAGAAGGACTCATTTCGTAAAATGTTTAATTCATGACTCAGGCTGCTATTTCTCCTCACCAAACACATTGAGAACTGGAATTTTTATAATTAAAGAAGATAAGTTTATCAGATTTTCACACATGTCCAAAACAATCAAAGGAAACTGATTAGATAAAACTTTTCTTTCATTTCTTCTGAATCTGGAAAACCCTGAGCGATACATATCTGTGAGAGGTGATAAATATTCATGATTAGAGGCGTTCTTTTCTTGCATTTTTTGCATTTGTAAAGACTTATTGTTTCCAACCAGGAAGAAAAAATGTTCCAAACCGTAATTAGAAAGGTGCTTACAAAAGATACATTTTAAATATCAAATGAAACCAGAGCAGAGTTCTTTGAAGAAGCTCAACTGCAAACCAAAGGGCTGCAGAAATGCCAAAGGATTGTCCGTAACAGGCCAGTGTTGTAGCTACTAAACTAAGAAAGGGGGGAAGGGATGCACTGACTTTGTTCATAACAGTTATTAGGGAGACAAGTTTATTCATATTGCACATTTCAGCAGCAAGACAATTTACTGCAGATGAGAAAAACACCTGCAGGCTCCATTTCATCTTCAAGGAGCTGTGAGGTTGAAGCTTTTAAGCTGTTGGTAAATGTGTCATTTCACCTTAAGTTGTTTATGTTTGAATGCAATAAGCTTCTCGGAGGATATTGGTCTTTCTTTTTCTGCATATAAGAAAATGAGGCTTGAAAGTTAAAGAGAAAAAGCTGAAAGCTCCTGTTTAAAAGAATCCTTATTGCAAAACATTTAAATCACTCAAGATAAGGAAATTAATATTGACCCTTGAGATAACTGAGATACAAAACTGCGTTTTCAAGCAGGGGGTCAAAAATTTTATTTTTAATTCACTTAAAGAAGAAAAAATAAATCCAACCTTTACTACATGGACTGCAGAATGAACATCTATTACCTAAAAACCAGAATCCCTCAGCGAGAAAGATGATGACTGAATTCGGGAGGAAATTATTTATGAGATTAGGAAAGAGAAAATTTACACATTTGATTTTTTTTTTCCATAAAATTTAAGATATCAAAACAAGATGCATTGAGCTCCCTATGTTCACAAATCAGTAGTATCAGTAATAATGATGAAAAAAAAAACAAAAATGAGAATTGATGCTGATTAGTTCATAATAACCTGAATATTCTTCATGAAAAAAAAAATCACTGATTGATACATTGAAGTTACTGTAGCCAAACAATTATATTATAAATATATTATAATTACATTATAATTAAATGTTCTTAGAGAATAAAATCCTTGTGCGCTGTTTTTGAGAAAAATGTAAAGAAGCTGTTTAGAGTTGCTAAACGATTCAAAAATTTGTGTCCAGACAGACGTACAATAATGAAAAAAACCTTTACATTGTGACAATGAGGGAAAAAAACAACAAAGTAAATCATGATAAGCATGATTTTCATCAGGGTATGAGTCAATAACAGCAGATAATGGTTCACTTTCTGCAAAGACGTCTTTTTGTTTGTCTTCACCAAGCCGTTTTCCCACACTGGGACACTTTTTAACTTAAATGAAAAAGCCTCGTTTACTCCTGACCAAGAAAGGCAGAACTGCTAAAATATTAAAAACCACCTATGGTCACTTGCAAAAGTAAACAACTCCTAAACATTTTGTTTTATCACAACCAATTTCAGTGTATATGAGTATGATTCAAAATACATTGCGGTAGATTTGCATTCAGCTTAATTTAATCTGATACTTTAAATACAATCCATCACAAATAAAATTGTGTAAATGTTTAATGTAAATGATCCTGAGCTCTAAAAGTCTCACAGTGAACCGTTCAGTCCAACATCTGACAAAAGAAGAAATATTGAAGAACTGCCAACCTACCAACATTTGCACACCCCCATTACTGACATACGGAGGAAGCAAACTGATAAACTGATGCATTATCCAATGCATCAGTTTATTAACTTGCTGCAAGTTCCATTTGTGGTAATGTTTGAAACTTTTAAATAAGAACAGGCAAACTGACTAAGGATCACAGTACTTTTATGGATTCACTAGGGGCAGCAGCCCCAATTTCAAAGACCTCTGCTCTCCAATGTTAGACACGGAGGTGGCAGCAACATCACGAGGGGACGGTCTTCTCCATCAGAAACAGGAAACCTGTTCAGTCAGTAAAGCTGTTGATTGATGGATGAATGGGGTTGCATTCAGGGCATTTCTGCAAGAAAATCTTCTAGAAGCTGCTAAGGACTTCAAACCGGGACAGAAGTTGACCTTCTGGCAGGGCTTGAAACATAAAGCGAGACGTACAGTGGAATGGGTTAGATTCAGTTTATCTATATAGCACTAAATTCACAACACGTCATCTCAAAGGGACAACTCAAGTCTGATTATACCAAGAGGTTCCAGGTCAAGAAGGCATGCAGCTGTAACTGCTTCAAGTTAAACACATCTATCATCTATCTGGCATGTAGCAGCTAAGCTCTGCTTTGTGCTGATCGACCACAGTAGATGATGAATATATAAAAGTATAAAGACTTTTTAAAAGCACTTTGATCAAGACTATAACAACTCTTTGGTGTTGAGTTGTTGTGCAGCAGTTAAAGATCCTATCTGTTTGTTTGTTTGTTTTTTTGTTTTTATGTGAAACATTCAGTAATACTTGACCTGGATTATATTCTGCTGAGTCTTGGTCTGACTCCAACCTTTTCAGACCCTGTTCTGCTGCATGCAGGATTTGATATATCATAAACATATATCATATAACATATCACCAATGATAAAACAATAAAAAATGACAAAGATATTCAAAACATATCATTTCAAAATGCTGTATCAGAACATCTTTTATGGGGCACATTTAATAAGGAGGTTGGATGTAGCAGAATCTGTCAAGCATCTAAACTGACAGTCCTACAAGAGAAAAGAACTTGAAAGGTCCTCCTCTAAACTCAGTAGAAATTATCCGTGTGCATAAAAACTCACCAATATCTAGTCTGAGCTTTTCTGCTGGTCAGTAGAAAAGGTGAAGAACAGCCTTGGAGTCATTAGGTTATGATCCCACTCACTGATATGTAGTTTTAATTAGGCAAGCAGGGTTATTCATATAGTACAATTCAGCACAGAGACAATTAAAAGTGCTTTATATGAGTTAAACAATAACATAAAACAAAAATCAATGAAAAACAAACAAAGTTAGCTTTTGTTTCTGAAATATTACACACATGGAGTCACATTCTGACCAGTTTAGGTCATATTTCCCCTAATATAAAGTTCAAACTTTAACTTTAAAACTTTAACTTTGTACATATTCTAGTGTAGTAGTATCCCAAATTTTTGTGGTGATGTTGACTCGCTGGTTAAGGTACCAGAACTGCTGCCTGTGACAATATGATTGGCTGAATGTTGCCATGACTTTGCAGAGTATTGTGGACAACGATATAATACCGTAATGCAGATTTATGAGAAGACCGAAAAGATTTGTTTTTGATTAACTTAGTAACTGCAGCTTTGCTGAGTAACTAACAATTTAGCTTCTTTTAGCTCAGGCAGTCCCCATATTAAGCTACACAATTTCTACAAGTTTAATAAGCACACATAATTTTTTCTAAGATGTTCCATTCGTCCTCTCCTGCCCTCAGACCTGAATGAAAAGAACAAATAAAACTCTGGTTCTCACCTCACATAGAACGCACTATTTGCCTTTAAGATAGAAAATTATTGATTTCTACTTTTGGCTACTTTAGGTTGCCAAAGGAAAAGTAAAATGATAGTAAATATAGGTAATGGTAAAAAGAAAGCTTAGAAAAGATTTGACTCTTCTGCACTAAGTTTGTCCAAGTGATGTTGTCGTATCGAGACGTATTCAACTTGTAATTTAAAGCTAATCATAATTTTTTTAGCAGTCTTTGTTGTTTATTTTATTTTTTTTACAAGTTCAAGGGATAAAATTAAGATTAAAAAATATGTCCTTAACGAAAGAAACAACGCAGTCTGACTTTGTTGAAGATTTTCATTTTAACATAAATGTAAGAACTGTGTCTTTTTTTGCCTTATTAAAAAAGAAGACATGCTACTACTTTTAAAACATGAAAAAATGATTGGTTATTGTCTCTTTAAAAATGCTTTCTGCCTTTTCGGGTTGGCCAAATTTGCAACTTTTTAGGATTGCATTCAGGGGCCTTAAAAATCATTCAGAAGGCCTCAAATGGCCCCCGCTCTGCATTTTGGATTTTGCTCTAGAAAGTCAAAATTAAACTAAAACAGTAGATTAATTACTAACCAACCTTTTCATTGTTGTTTTTCACCCTCATGTTCTCACTGATGGGCTCCTTCCCCCCTAGAAGCTCACGACGCCCTTCACCATTTCTCCTGCAAGATGCTCACTCCTCGTCATTGCACTGGAGCCTGCACCTTCAAGTCTCCTCTGCTGCCCCCCTAGTGCCACTGTCCTACAGCTGACTGCAACCCAGCCTGATAAAAAAAAAAAAAAAAAAAAAAAAAAAAAAAAACATGTTTGAAGATCCAACTTCGAGAACCTTCAAGTGTTCACCCCTTCCACCGAGGATTCCTGCTGCAGCTGCTGGTGCCACTGCTCTGCAGATACACCTCCATTAAGGCTCTGGAGGAGATGGATTCTGCAGCAACCTCTCCTCCAAACAACTGGACTCTTGTGTTAAAGAGATCATGCTGTGAATCAGAGGATTGCTGATGCAAAGCTGCAAAGCTAAAACCAAGGAGGTCGCTGAATAAAAACTCTTTGCTCTTTCACTATCTGAAGAGAATAATGCTACATTATTTAAATAAATAAAAATATATATATCACATGACAATGTGCAATGGCTTGTAAAATTGTGATTTTAAGTTCAACTCTCATTTGTTAGTTTGGTTGCATATGTTTTTACATGTATTTATAATGTACCTTGGGTTTGTACACTGTGTATGTCATCAAGCACTTTAAATGGGCAACATTTTTAAATTTGGACACCAAATTTGCTCCTCCAGTTTGTTTGCGTGTGTTATGAATACAGCACATAGTTATGAGCACTTACTGCAGCCGCCCTTCGGGTTTTTCACTTCAGATTATGGAGGCGAAAGAAGCACCATTAAAAGGAAAAGAAAATGCACTGACTGCTGGTTACGAATGTTTGCTTCTCATTTTTCTGTTTTCTTTTTCTGTTTCCTCTCAGTAAACTGAACCAAAACCTCCTCTGTTTTCTTTTTATACAGAGAAAAACAATCTCAAGTATGAATTGTTTCCACTCTTTTCTTTTTTCTCCTGTTTATCTCCTGTACAAATCCAAATAAAACCTGAAAAGCTCTCTGGGCTTCATGTCCCTCACTGCTCCTCTGCTCTCCTCCAGTGGGAGCCTGACACCTGCTGGCCTTTCTCCAGAACACCCCCCCTCCTCCTCCTGAGGGTGATCGGATTGCCTCACATTGTGTTTGAGTTCAACATGATCTCTTTCATTAGGCAACCAACATCAGAGCATGATATGTCCAGTCATCTTATAATGTTTGACGTGGAGTCAGGGAGGCGAGGTGGGGGTGGAGATGGCGGTTCTGGGAGCAGGTTGATCCACTGGTGAAATCTAATTCTTCAGATGGGACGACTAATAGATATTGATTACCCGGCTCCGGGGCCCTGGATGCCTCATACTGAGACAGATATTCACGTAATGTCACTGATGCACATTGAATGCTAATTTTCAGCCAACATAATTGCCCTCTGTGGCAAACTTGTTCCCTCTGAATGCTAACAAGGATGAGCAGCATCATAGTACAGTGGGAGCGACTTGGCTGGGGCCTCCCTGACAATGACGTGGTTAAAAACACTGATGAAGTCTTTATCTCTTTAATCTTTACTTTTATTATTTGATCATTCTTCTGTTTTTTTGTTTGTAATTATTTAAGGTGTTCTTATTTGACTTCCAATGCTTGTTTTGTTAGTAATGAGGTTTTGGCTTATGGTTTGCAATGATAGGTTAAAAAATGTTAATTATCTCTCTGATGTATTTTTTTGTTTTGTTATTTATGTTTTTATATCATCATTTTGTTCCTTTTTATGTTAACTCCTGTCTCTAAAAGTCTGTCTTTTTTTTTTGCCCTCTTTTTTCTTATTTATTTTTTTTTTTTCAGATTAATTGAACCTGAAAGCAGCTTCTTATTTCCAGCTGTGACTTGGTTAAACAGAGGGCCCTTCCAAAGAGCTATAAGAACAGACAGACAAGCTGTATTCCTTTAATGTTTGAGCCATTTACATTTTTTTCATTTTATTATGCTGTTCTTTGTGGAAATACATATGTATGTGATTTTTTTTGTCTCCGTTTTTATTTGTTCTTTGTGTTTTTATGCCTTTTTTGTGCTTTGATTTTTTTTTCTGTATATAACTGTAGTTCAATAAATTCTGATGATCTTGTGATAAGCTTTTGCCTTTTTCTGGCTGTGTTACTTTATTTTTTTGCTCCCTTTTATTGCTTATATGAAACAAACACTGTGGCCATTTAACAGAAACAAGGTGTATGCAAACTGAGCTGCTTTAGGCAGAGGCCAGCAGCGAAGAGACAAAAATGGCCACAATTACTAAAACCCCAAATTTTATATGTTCAAAGGAAAACAAAGTGATTTAACATTTTCAAACTGTCTAATAACAAATCTTTAAGGATTTTAACTAATATATGTTAAGGAAATTATTCATAGTTTGATAGTGAAATTAATTAATAGGTGTTAAATCTCGCTGCTCGCTATCTTTACTGTAGTTACAATCTGTGAGTAAAGACATGAATGCCTTTCTGTGCTAGAAAGTTGTACCAACACACAACTGTAAGTCAGACTTTGATGTTTTAGTTTGTATTTTCACAAGGTGAGCTAGTGTACCTTTGTGTTTAATGCATTTGCTTGACGCATCACATTTGTGAAAGAATGTTATGTTTTTCTCTTGGTTCAGATCTCTGCCATTTTTGTTTTTTTTTATTATCAGATTTGGGAGGTTTCGTCTCGGTTTTGTATCATTTGTACTTTTCGTTCCTTCGTTCACTGCAGGGAAAAACAAGAAGAGGAGTTTTCTCTATGGGATGATATGGAAACTGCTGAGCTCCAATCTCTAAAAGAGAATTGGGTAAACCGGATCTTTTAAGTACTTTTTTTCTTATATAGATCAAACTTTTAAACTGTCATACTAAGAAACGTCATACTTTCTGAGCAATTTCGCTTATTTAAAAGATCATTCAAAAGGGAAAACATGAACAAAAATCCTGATCAATGCTACTTCAGTATTTTGAGAAACTGTTATCAAATATTCACATCTTGATCATGTAAACAGTAAATATATAACATGGAGGCACTGAATGATGTAACACTGGCAGTTTTATTTTCCAGAACTTGAACAGAAGTCTTTGAATGTAGTGTCACAAAATTCAGTGTGAGTACATTTATTTGATAATGAAGAAAAACAATACATCACAATTCCTTTTTTTAAGAGTTTATTTTACCACTATTTAGCATTATTACTATTACAGGGTTACATGGGTCTTTGAAACAGAACAGGCCCGTAGCATCACAGATCCTCCACCATACTAATTCTTTGTTTGGAAAAAAAAGAGATAAAAAAAAACAACACATAGAAAAAAAATCAACAAACTGTAATTTTGATTGCATAAGTGATCCATTGTTTCTCACATTTCCAAAACAACAGTTCTGTGTTAAAGTCCATATACATTCCAGCTAACTCCACATTTTCCTTACTTTCCTCTCAAACAGTGAATAAATAAAGCATCCAGAGCTTGTTTTAAATATTTAGGGACCCAAAGTTGTCTTTCTTTGGAGATGTTCTCTATCAGTTACCTTTTTTTATTATTGTCCTGCTATGTGTTTATTAGTGCCAGGATAAACTTGGTTCTTCTCACAACCTTGTTTCTGACAGTTCCAGTCATAAAGCTTTAATTCATACTTTTACTTCCATCATTTCAGCTCTACATATCTGGTAGTTCTGAGAAGCAGGGATGATTTAGTCAATTTCTAATTTAAGGGGCAATTCTGTGTTGATTTCTATAAGAAAGTGGATGAGGAGAAATGATTAAACAAAAGGAATATCAGATAAATGATCCACTTCTGGAAAACAGCACTTCTTTCACTGCTTTAAAAAAAACAGGAAATTTTCATTTCATCTTTTACTTTATCATCTGATATAAAATTTCCCTGATAATTTTTATAACAAAACAATATCTAAGTTGAATAATGATACTTTTCCTACACTGACTGCATAAAGTTAAACTAAAGGGAGGATTTTTCTAAATGTTTCTGTTATAGCAGGAGCTGTCAATAAATAGGGAGGGCGTTGTACAAGCAGTACCATCCAGAAACTACTTCAGTGCTTCAGCTGCTACATTACTGGTGTTTAAGGTGATTTATTCACCTTTGCCTGACATATAACAGTCTCATATTTAATTTCATGGGTTATATGATATAGCTTTTACATCATAAATGTTTTGGTCATGTCTGCTCACCTGTAGAGTTTATTTGTTTTAAATTTGAGCCTATATTCTCTTGTAATAAGTTTCCATACTAAGTGCCACTATGGAGTCCATTAACAGTGACATTAGACATTTTAGAGAAAAGAAAAACTCTTTATTGTGCTGCTGGATAATGATCCCACAGTATTTGCTCTGTGGGATATGGATTGATTATTTGCTCATATAATCGTTTGTGGTCAGTGGACACCTGCCCCCTCACTGGGCATCAACAATGCAACAGATGGCAGCAATACATGATGACATAATGAGGCCCAAACCAAGCAGCAGAACTAGTTTGTCAATAAGTCTTTGTGTATTTTATTTTATTTTTTGTAATGGATTTATGCACAAAGCCAAAATGTGTTCAGTGAGATCATATTTGGTTCAGCCTGGAAGAAAAACCTTATTACAGAAAGTAGAGGCTTGAGTTGTTGGTAATTGTTCAGGATCAGATCAGATCATGTTGGACTTTTGTTTATCATTTGGCGCCTCCTACTGGTCAAACCGTCCTCTAACTACAGGGTAAGGAATCATTTTTCTTAATAAGTCATTTGGCCCAAACTAAGATTAGATATTGAAGGTATTCATGCTAATTGTGTTTCTCTATGAACATATAAGTTTCTTTTCCACAATACTTTGAAAGATAACATTTATTTTATTTATTCTAAGCAGAGCAAGTGTAAAGTAAATGGATGCATAGATTTAAAATAATGTAACAAAAATGGTTTCTTGTTTGTGTCAGGGTCTGGTGAAAAAAAGTTTTTTGTAAAGTTTTATTGGGAAATCATCAAAAGAGCCCAAATACCTCTCATTGCAAATGTGCAAAGAATTTAAAGCACGGCTTGAAACAGTATCTGAATGTTCATGACCTTTGACCTGTTGAGTGTATCAGTTACCCACAGCATGAAAAATACTTAGAAACTAAACTGTATTAGAACAGAATGTGCTGAAGGTTCTCAGACAGAGAGTGCAGTTTGAACTTAAACAGAAATGGTAAAATATTTATCTATCATCTATATCTATCTATCTATCTATCTATCTATCTATCTATCTATCTATCTATCTATCTATCTATCTATCTATCTATCTATCTATCTATCTATCTCATCAATTTTTAACTATACATTTATCAATTTGAAATGGGTTGGAGTAGTATATTGTTTTTTTATGCATTCAGATGCAGAGGTAAATTCTGAAGAAGTTCAAGTAGAAGCTTAAGCTTTTTACTCGAGTAGAAGTAAAAAATTACTAGCTTCAAAAAATATCTAAAGTATTACAGTAAAAGTACTGTGAAGGGGAAAATATGTCATGGAGTACAAAAGCTTGTAAGTTATATAAAGATGTTAATCTTTGGATAATTTGGAAAACACTAGGCCAGGGTTTCTTAACCCTGCTTCCACACACCTGACCTGGATTATAAGGTAATTAACAGCCTTTTGCAGCATTTAAGGGCTGTCAAAGAGGAAAGGTGATCATTTGAATCAGGTGCTTGAGTAGAGACACATCTAAAAAACGAAGGATAGAGGGCCCTAAGGACCAGGGTTAAGAGTCACTGCACTATGCTACCTAGTTCAGCTGGATATATGTCAATCATGTACGGTGCAAATACACTGGCTGGCCAAATAAAAAGTCGCCACCTGGATTCAACTAAGCAAATAGGTACGATCCTCCTATTGGATAATTACTGCATGGGCGATTATCTTTCACCTGGCAACATGTTATTTAACCCCAACTGGTGCAATGACTTGCTTCTCATTTTCTAAACAACCATGTTGAAAGACACATCCTGTGGTCGTGGAAAAGATGTTAGT